GGGGACTGTTCTGTTCATGGGCTTTCTCTCTCTCTCGGCGGTGCGGTGCTTGCTATATAGGTGTGATGGTGAATAGGTCTGTTTGCAGCGCGCCGGCGTGCTTTTGTCTTCTGCTTTACTTGCTCTCATTTGGACGTCAGCAAAAGGGGGGCGCAGAACTTGTGAACGCAATAATATCGTCTGCGTGTGGATAGCATGCCGTTTGACATATAATCACTGGCTTCAAAGCTTATTACGTGCAGGCGTCATGATGTATATATGCACTCACGTCATTCGACTAGAGCTGTCTCTTTCCTCATTCACGCAACACGCACACACACAGATGCACATACACATACGTACACACACACATATATAAACACATGGATCATGTCACTCGCTCATTCATTCATTCATTCAAAGTCGCGCCATTTGGGTGTCTTGGGGGTCTTGGGGGTCTTGCCTCCAGCAGTCGGTCCAACGCCCTCCTCACCCTCCTCGCCCTCCTCACCCTCTTCACCCTCTTCACCCTCTTCACCCTCCTCACCCACCTCCATCTCTCCCTCTCCCTGCGGCTGACCCTCAGGCAATGCCTCGTGTGCGTGACCAGCGGCCTCCTCGTTGGCCGCCTCTGCGATGGGGCCCAGCTGCTGCTGGTCATGTGTCTCATCTTCGCTAGTGGGACGGTGATCTTCGGCGTCCTCGTCCTGGGGGTCCTCGGCCTTGTTGTCGTAACCTGCCGCATCGGCTTCTTCCTCGCCCTCTCCCCCTTCCGGCTGCTCTTGCTGCACATCGTGCGCTCCATACTCAGGAGATTCCTGAGAGACAGAGGCAGTAATGAAGACGGAGATGGATGGATGTGTACACGGTGGATTTTTGCTCGCTGACCTCCTGTGTCTCGTCCTGATATGATGCCTCTGCGTCCACAGGCATCTGCGATGGGGCGGCGTGGTCGATGTCCCGCTCCTCCGGCGACTCGGGGCCATCTTCCTCAGGCTGTTCCTCCTCGGCTCCCTCTGCAGCCTCGGCTTCATCTGCCAATTCAACGCCGACGAACGGCTGCTCACCCTCTTGAACGCCAGGCTCCTCGGCCTCCCTCTCGTCGCCTTCCCCTGCCTCCTCCGCCTCTTGCTCTTGCTCGACAACCACACCGCCTTCAGCGCCCTCCTGGCTCTGCCTGAGAAGACTGGACGGGCTGTCCCTGCCCATCCCCAGGCCCCCTCCCTCACGCGAGAGGGGCGTGACGATGGCGTCTTCGGGTAGCCCTGCGGCGGGGTAGGGTGAGGTGTCGAACGAGGGCAGCGCTGGGAGTTCGCCCTTGTCGGCAAGTTGCCCCTGGTCGGACTCGGGGGCGTTCTTGCTGATGGGGTAGGACTTGCGCTCCTTCACTGCGAGATGTGAGGGAGGGAAAGTAGAGAGGGACGAGACTCAGACAGATGGTGTGTGTGTGTGTGTGTGTGTGTACCGATCTTTGGTCCGATGTGTTGGTCGATGTCAACGTCCCATTTCTTCTCATAGGGGTCGGTGGGATCGAAGAGCTGCTTGGCGCGCTTGTGCTGGAAGTGCTTGGGGTTACGGGCCTCAAGCGCCTTGCGCTTCTGCACATCCATCCCAGACAAGACACAGACAGGAAGAGACACAGGTGGGATGTTTCTGTCCCGCCTCTGCGAGTTTGTCGTCACCCATACTGACCTGTGCTGCCTGTGCGAGCAGACGGACGTGCTCGGGCACGCCGACATCCTTGGGCAGCTGGGCGCTCGTGATAAAGCCAAGACCCAGGAACAGATACCCACAGATAAGGAGTCCCAGCAGCTGAGCAAGTAACAAAGGCAGACACCGAGGTGCGTGTGGGTCTGAGTGTTGGTCGAAGCCGACCTCGACACCGAATGCGATGAGCTGTCTGATAGCGCAGGCTTGGAGGAGCCAGGTGGGGTCGACCTCTGTGCACTGGCCGAACATCTGACAGTCAAGGCTGACGACACACGACACACGACACACACACACACACACGCACACATACACGCACAACGGCATTCATAAGCCGTGTGGGTGGCTGTTCCACTCATGGCTTGCTGCAGCGGGCCGAGCGCCTACTATCCAATTTGGAGGATGAGGGCGAACGTGTCGCCCATGAAGGCCCAGGGAGAGATCAGCAGGATCAAGTTCCCAAAGAAATACTGCACACACGACACACAGAAGGAGAGAGAGAGCGAGAGAGAGAGAGAGAGAGAGAGAGAGAAGCAGACAAACGACACACATGCATAAGTCTCAGAGCCGCTGTCCCTTCCTTCCCTCCCGCGCACCGCACTCACCAGCCATCTGAATATGGTGTGTATGTCGACAAAGAGCCCCACGCCACACACAAACATGGATATGAGCGCCCGAAAGGTGTTGTGGAGGGCCACTTGGGTCTCATAGAAGAAGCACAGCGGCCCCAGAGAAACCAGGTGCACCACGCACAGCACCCGCACAATGTACACCTGGTAGCGGATGAAGGTCGCCTCGTGGTTCAGGATGCAGTAGAGCGCGAGGAAGAGGAACAAAAAGATGGCCAGCGTCGCGGCGCCCAGCTCAATCAGGTACCAGTGCAGCTGCGATTGGAGCGGGAACTCGTGCTCCGTGATGCTACCGATGTCGCTGGACGACATTGTCGACGTCGGCGGGGAAAATGGTGTGGGGGCCTGGTGGGGGTCAAAAACGTCGGCGTCTCCGAGTCGTCACTCGCTTTCAACAAAGATGAGCTGCTTTGCATCCGCGCTCTAGCGCCATAGCCATTCGGCGTCTGCTCCACACTCCACGGACGATCCAGCGCATGAATTTACACACAGACAGCCGGTCTTTGAGTGTTCATCAACAACGTTAGGATGAGCCAGTTTAGCCCTTGATCGCAGCAGCTGTACAACAAAGTACCGCAACATCGTCAAACCATCGTGGCGATGAAGCGCAACGCTCCCAAGGCTTCCCCGAAGGCCTCCCGCCCCCTCTCGCCCAACAACAACCGGCAGCAGCAGCAACAGGGCGGCGCCAACAAGCCAGGAGCCAACAACAGGGGCGGCAGGGGCGGCGGCAACAACAACGCCAATAACAGCAATGCGCCAGCAGGTGGTGCGGCTGGCAGAGGAGGGAATGCTCGGGGCGGGGGAGGCGGCGGTGCGGCGGCTTCATCATCGCGGGCTGGCAGCTCTGCCGCGAGCGTCACTCGGTCGACGCGAAAGAAGGATGGTAACACTAAGCCGAGCGAGTAAGCGTATGGGGGGAATGGGTGTGCGGGTGGATGGATGGATGGACGGATGGATGGATGGGTGCAGGAATGATGCGTCGAAGGCCCCTATGACGCGAGAGAGGGCAGAGGACATCCTGCGCAAGGCTTTCAGGTCGGCCTTTGTGTGGCGTGCGGACGAACATAATATATTGTTCGCTTCATCCTCATCTTCTTTCTGTCTTTCAGGGGTCATTTGTTTCGCAAGCGCGTCACCCAGATGCTCAAGGACGTCAAGACATGTATGTATGGCAGTGTGTTTATTGGGATAAGGCTGCATGCACAGACGTCTACTTGGTGTGTCTGGGTGTGTGGCAGCCGAGCAGTACATGACCAAACTCAAGCTGGACAAGTATTCTCACACAGACAGACAGACAGACCGACAGAGGCAGAAGAGGCAGATGAGGAGGATACTATCTCTCTGTGTTTTCCTTGTGCGTGTGCATGTGTGTGCGTGTGGCCATCCGTCCACAGGTCGGAGGTGTATCTGCTGCAGCAGCTGGTGATCGAGCGCAAGTCGCGGCTGGGCCACGGCATGTCGGGCAACGTAGTCAAATGCACCGACGCAAATCAAACCAAACACTTCGCCATGAAGGTAGGTACCTCTCCCCTCCTCCCTCCCTCCCTCCCTCCCTCATGTGTGTCGGTGTGTGTGTGTGCAGGGTTTGGACCTGACAGTGTACAAGAGCAAGAGTGAGAAGGAGCGCGAGAAGAAGAAAAAGGAGGGCGGCAAGGATGGGGGCAAGGACAAGGAGGACTCCCCGCTCCAGAGGATCAAGAAGAAATGCGGCGTCAAGGACGACGGTACACACGTGTGCAGATGGGCATGGGCAGCGGGGAAGTGTGTCATGGGTGTCAGTATGTGTCTATGTGTGCAGAGGGGGAGAATAACGACGCTGGCGACAAGGAGGACAAGGAGAAGAGGAAGCGGAAAGAACAGGACTTCATCGCATCACAGGTCGGCACGGCAGCGAGCCCAGCCACACACACCTACACACACACATGGATGGATGGATGGATGGACACGTTTCCACACCCCTCTGTGTCTTTCCTTCTCCATGTGTTAAGTTGCGTTCGTTTGAGATAGAGGTCGACTTCCTGAAGCGTCTCAAGGCCTCCAACCACCCCAACATCGTCTACCTAGAGGGCATCGCAATCTCGCCCCCACACTACTGCATTCGTACCTATCCATCCATCCATCCACAATACTCATCTGACCTTATTTCTCAGTGACACGTTTGGAGAAGCATGCCCTGGCGACCAATGTGCGTGTGTTGGCCTTTGAGAAGGGCCGCCGGGGGGTGCTGCCGACCCCCATGGCGAGCCTGTCGCCATACGACCTGCCGCAACAGCTTAGCATGGGAGCTGAGGTACACCGGGACATGGATCTACGTCTGTCTGTGTAGGTGTATGTGTGTGTGTGTGTGTGTGTGTGAGCGCAGATAGCCTCTGCCGTGGCCGAGCTGCACAAGCACATGATACTTCACAGAGACATCAAGTCCAACAACGTCCTGGTACGGTACGGCACGCCTACCACACCACACCGTGACGCACACACACACGCACGCCCACACCCCACCCCACGCACATCTCAGATGTGCATCTAAACAGATTCGTCAGACGCCGACGGATGGAGGTTATCCGTCGGTGTGTCTGTGTGACTTCGGCATAGCGCGCCAGATGAAGGAGGAGGGTCGCGGCATATACCCTGGCAACGGCGGTACCTACACCACACACATGTCTCTCTCTGTCTGCCCATGGACGGATCGATGTGTGTGTGTGTGTGTCAATCAGCGGGCACACCATCGTACAAGGCGCCGGAGGTGATCTCAGAGCACGGTAGGGATAGCTATAATGGACAGGTACATCTCGTTGACGTCGATTCGTGCTTGTTGTCTGTTCAGGGTTCTACTCGATGGCAGGCGACGTGTGGGGCATCGGGGCCGTGCTCAGCGAGCTCTTCGCAGGCACGCACCAATGCCATGCAGACACATAATGACGCTCCACCTGTACAGTGTATAGGTATCTTCGTGGGCGTGTGTGCACTGTGCAGGTGTGCAGTCGCTGTGCCAGTGGGTGTCCATCACCAACAACCAGAAGGACAAACGAGTCCTCAGCGGATTCGCTGTCAGCCGCCCACCCCACCCACAACACACACACACACACACAGATGCATGTCAGCACCTACGTGTGCGGTGTCGTGTTAATCCCCCCAGCTGCCGCCGCTGCCCGATTCGGTCCCTGCTGGCCCCAAGGAGGTCATCCTGGTGACCAAAACAAACCAACACATGTACAGCACGCCCACCACCATGTTTGTGTTGTATTGCGTACCTGCGTGCAGCGGTGCATGCAGTACGAGGCGCCCCTGCGCCCATCTGCCGCACAGGTGAGTGCGGTGCTTGGCGGGCACACCACACAAAGACGCGACGCGTGTGTGGGTGCGAGTGTGTGTGCAGGTAGCGGCTGTGTTGCGTCGGCTGCTCAAGGAGTACGAGGAGGAGAACGCCTTCCCGCCCAAAGCCAAACGAGGCACGAACAACACAACACAACACAACACACCCAAATGTGTGTTCATATTTGCGGGCTGCCCGCCTGTGTCCATCCATCCACAGGCACGCGCATCAAGAGCAATGACGCCAAGAGTGCCGGGGCGAGTGCAGGTAGTGACGACGCGGCCGCCAAGGGGGCGGCGCTCGACCCCCTGCCGGAGGACCTACACGTACGCACACACAAACCATCACACACATGGACAGACAGCTCATGAAGAGAGAGAGAGACACGCATTATTGTGGCCATCAAATGAATGAGTTTGTTCAGTATGAGTACTACCTGCGGCTGGGCGTGGCCTCCTTTCGCATGAGATCGCAGCGCGCAAACGCATACGTACACCCACACACACAGAGACACAGATACACACACACAGACACACACAAAGATCCATACGATGGCCGATGGCATGAGTGCAGCAAATGTTGGACGAGTTGGAGAAGAAGCGATATGAGACCATGAAGGAGGCCGACAAGATGCTTGTGCGGGTCGGCCACACGGACCATCCACAGCAACATCTTACGCAGTCACTGACACACCTCCTGTGCCCCTCTGTCTGTCTGTCTGTCTGTCTGTCTGCTGCAGCGTTTGTCGGTGATGGCTCGTTTTCAGGAGGAGAAGTACCGTCGCGAGCGGCAGCCCGAGGAGGGAGACGACCACTTCGCTCTCATCCCACAATATAACGGGCAAGGTACAGTACACGCCCTACACACGCATTCATTCTGGCTGGATGGACGGATGGATGTGTGAGTGTGCGCATGCGTGTTGGCTGCAGGGACGTACGTGGCTGACCCGAACGTGGTCAAGCAGGGGTGGGTGTCGCCCTACCAGCGGTCGCCCTACCGCAACAGCACTATGCGCTCATACAAATGGCTTCTGCAGGGTGAGGGGCTCAATGGATGGATGGATGGATGGCTGACTTACACACCTGCGCGCCTCTCTGCATGTCTCTCTCTCTCTGTGTGTGTGTGTGTGAGCAGGTGTGAAGCCGACAGTGCCCAAAGGCAGCGTGGCGTTCGGCGGTTCGCACAACAAGTGGGTGCAGAGTGAGACCGGCAAGTGGGTCAGGCAGCAGTAGCTGAGAGTTGGGTGGGGGCCTCAGTGAGGGAGGGGTGGGTGGGTGTGCATACCGGGGGGCTGGCATCCATCGACCACATGTCCATTTGTGTAAAGGGGTGAAGTGAGACACATTTGTACTTACGCGTGGAAGACACACATTTCTTGACGGACACAGTCGGCTTATGCATGACGTGAATACATGTCCAGGTGTGCAGGCGCATATCTCATGACGTCACGCTTTCGTGAGTGTCCTAGCACCAAATCTGTTTGGCGCAAAAGGCCTCAGGTCCACACACGACGACTCGCCAGTGGCTATCAGCTCAGCCAAACCTTTCCCAGTGGCTGGGGCATTCAGAATCCCCTGCACCACACACACACGTCTGTGTGTCGCTGTGTGCATGGTTACGTACCCAGCATGAGTGTCCGGTTGCGACGTAGACGCCATTGCAGCCAGGCACTTCACCTGGACACATGGGGGAAACACACAGCACTTTTTAAGTTGCCCATGAGCACCACCCAGATGAGTGCATGTGTGTGTGTGTGAGGGTGCACAGGCCGCCGACCGATGAGTGGTGTGTTGTCAGGGGAGAGGGGCAGGAAGCAGCACGAGACGCCCTCAACAGATGTGCCTGTTTGCAATAGTGACAGACACAGACACAGACACTCACTTGTGTGTATACCCCCGTGTGTGTGTGTGTCAGACCTTGCAGAGCTCCACTCATCGTGTCGGCCATCTGTTTTAGCCTCTGGCCTTTCTCCTCTTCAGGCACCACTGCACCTGGGTCGTCTGCACACATACACACACACACACACACAGACAGACACACGCACACACACACACGAGATACTCCCACGTGTGGACCCACACGCACGACTCACTCATATCATCAACGAACCTGGCACAGGCACCATGTCGGGAAAGCCGCACATGTACACCTCATTGTCAGGCCGTGGGTAGATCTCGGGGTCCTCACTGCCACGCCACCCGCCCATTCGGTTGCGATTGTGGTACTGGATGAACAGACAGTGGTTCGATATCGCTGCTTTGGGCCGCATCGTGATGCTGTGATAACGCTGGCCTGATGACCACACACGCAGAAGAGAACACCTGCATGTAGGTGTGTGGGTGTCTCGTGAGTGAAGCCACCTCCGATCTGCGGCAGAGCGAGCCATTTGGCGGCCTCTTTTGTCCAGGGTCCCATTGCAATCACCACCTTCTCGCAAGGAATGACAGTGCCGTCAACCTTGACGCCAGTCACGCTCCGGTCGTCGGCCATCTCGATCGCCTCCACCCTGCCGATTCGCAGCTGTGCGCCTCGCCTCGTGGCGCCAGCCAGCAGCGCTTCTGTGAGCAATCGGGGATGCACCTACAGAGAGGAGAGAGAGGCACATACATACCATACGCCCATCTGTGTTCGTGGGGTCGGGGCAGCCGGACCTGTGCAGTTGTGCTCTCGTCGCCGAGTTTGCCGTTCGCCCAGACATTCTTGTCCAGCCATTCGGGCAGCTGCCCGCCGCCACCAGTGCCCCGAGTGCCTGTGTTCCTGCCGCTGTCGGTGTCTGACGCCATGACACCGATGGTGTGCACTTGCCGATACATGACGTCAGCCCTTTCCTCTTCCTGCACACAGACAGACAGACAGACCCAGAGGCAGATCATCAGTGTGCTGGCTGGTAGGGATGTGTGTGACCTTCAGCTGCTTCGCCAGCTGGGCGTGAAGCGCATAGGACACCCGCGCGAGGGGACCGACAGGGCTGTGGTCATTCCTGGCGACGAATCGCGGGAATCTTGCATGCACTGTGCGTGAGTGAATCATTCCACTGCTCACCAGTGCTTCGCCAGAAAACCGCCCGCCTTGCCGGACGCAGCACAGGCCGGCTTGGTCCGCTCAACTATGATTGACTTGACGGCATGCTCCCGCGCCAGGTGGTATGCCACGGAACAGCCAATGATGCCGCCGCCACAGATCACCACCTGACACAGCAAACACACAAACAAAGAAGTCCATCTCTTTTGAATGCACGAAATGAAGGGGCGCCTGGCGTCATTGCAGTGCATTCGCTTCCCACCTTTGCCTGCTGCGATTCATCGCTCATCGTCGTCGTTGCCTTGTGCTGCCTGGAAGAGTGCCTTATCCGCAAGATCTTCGCTGGCAGATCGACAAACGGGACAAAAGCTGATGTGTTCACATGTGAGAGGTGCAGCAGCAACAACAGAGGGCCTTTTTTGAGGAGCATTTGATTTCTGCCGATCCGTCTGCGAGCTAAGCTTGCGGGGAGAACTGAAATGGGAGAAAAGGGACGGGCAGATGCACCATGATGATCCCCGTGCTAGACAAGGACAACATCTTCGACTTGACCGCCGTCCCGCACCCCGTAGAAGACGGCCCCAGCAGCCCCACCCAGCAGCAGCGCCGCACCCAGCAGCAGCGCCGGGAGTCCTTCTCAGCCATCGGCGTGTCCAAGATATGGCACTCGGGGTATACACTCAACTTCGCCATTCCTGCAGAGGTGCCAGGGGATGAAGACGACGAGCCATCCATCCACACTGACAGACACGAGGACTCCGAGGCTGAGGACGCACAGCCACAAGCTGCAGCAGCCGATGAAGAAAGTGACTCCGAGGTGCGAGATGGCGGCGTCCAGTTCGAGAAGAGCGTCTCCCACGCCCCTCTCCCCGTGTCGAAGGTCTTCCATGACATCCCTGGCAGTGCCAGCCACCCACACAGAAAGAACTTGAAGAGGTTTAAGTGGCTGAGGACGGGCACATTTCGCCAGCCCTCGTTTATCAAGTCGTGGATGATGCGGACAACCAGTCAGAGGCTGGGTGAGGAGCGAGCGTGTGTGGGGTGCTGGATGCTCCTGAGGGTCATGGCTCTGCTTCTGTTGCCGCTCGGGATTGGAATTCTTTGGATATCGCTGCCCTTGAAGAGGCCCAGGGAACCGTGGGCTGAGCAGATGGCGTATTTCTGGGGTAAGCCAGAAGCGAGACAGAGACAGAGACAGGGACGCATTCATTTTTCCCATCCCCCGCTTCAGGTTACCTGCCAATGTTTCGCCTCATGATCGGTGTCCTGCCCTCGACGTGGATCCCCGCACTCCTCCAGGAGCGAGTCACCATCTGGACTCTCCTGGCAGGCATTCTGCCAGGCCTCTTCGGGCCTCTCCTCACCCTCCTCGTATCCGTCGCACGCAGCGAAACAGGCATCCCTGCGCACACGTTTTTAGTCGGTATCCCGGTGTTTGGCTTACAATGCTTTGCGATGATCTTCGCCTTCCCCCGCTGGCGGGAGAGGTACTGGCTGGACCGCCGTGGCCGCATGCGGTGGCTGAAGATGACCATAGTCTGCATGTTCGCTCCCATGCTCTGGTTGGCCGCCGTCCTATACACAGTAAGGGAGAGACACATAAGCGAGAGAGACACAAGCGAAAGGGGCCGCATTACATCTGCCCTGTGCTTCTGCGATGTGATTATGACAGTACGTCATTGTGAAGGTGGCCAAGGCCAAAATCGTCTGGTAATGATCCGAAAAAGATGATCGAGGGAAAGGGCGTGACGATCCTTCAGTGAGAACGCTTGTTTTTCCGTTCTTTTACAGGCTGCATGCGCTTCTTGTCTTCGCTTTTCCATTTTTCGGTGACCTAAGAGGCGTCTCTATGAGACATTCCCTACGAGACACACTGGCTCGACGTCTATGGCTGACTGTGTGCAGGTCGCGAGAGCGTGCTGATTGCGAGACGGATCCTGCGGATAACCAGGCGCAAAATGGAGGTCGCGGGAAGCATGTAAGCCGAACAGGAGCAGACACACAAAGGTGCTGGCAGCAGCTCACTTCCGTGTGCGCATGCACAGGCTGCCAGAAATGGTGACGCACCAGGCACACGGGCGTCGACACACAGATGCCACACCCGTGTGCCTCATTCCTTCTGTGTGTTCGTCAGGTGACGACCATGTATCTCTCTCTTTTGTTTCCCGGGATCCCGCCGTGGATCTTCATGGTGACACTCGTCGAGCGGTGCATTCTTTTAGCGTGGCCCGGGCTGTCCGTCATCGTAGAGCACAAGAAAGCCGTCTCGAGAAAGTTCCAGCAGGGCTATTTCCCCATTGAGGTGGCCATCGAGCCCGACAGAGCTTCCGCCTTGGGGTATGTGTTGGCGTGCCTGAGGTGCTTCAAGCAACCCGAGACATCGCCCCGGAGTAGCAAAGGGCTCAGCCTGAGCGTTTCCCAGGGCCAGCCTGCTGCTCAAAATGACAGCGACACCACCGCCACCAATAACAAAGTCCTCTTCGACTTGCGCGACGATGCTGCGGACGACCAAGCGGCCAACGACGAGCTGTCATCAAAGCAGCCGAAGGAGCAGCGGGTGTCGAAAGACAGCAGCCAGAGTGACGAAGTGGTGGTGACGAGCACGCCACCAGCAGAGCAACCGGCACCGGCAGTTCCCCCAACGCCAGGGAGCCAGAGGCGGGGATCGGTGGCATCTCTGTTGCGGACTGGCAGTGGGAGGGAGGTGAGCGTGTACGACGTTGATGAGAAGGTGTCGGAGTTCGTGATGTGCACATCCGGCGTGTTCCTTATCAAGGCTTTTACTGAGGTGGGCACACACCACAGGAGAGACGCATAATGAACAACTCAAAGCTGTCGACGTCGGGAGCATTCAGTGCAAGCTGTGCCTCAGATTTGTGGCCCGTTTGAGGTCTGGTTGTACATCTGGTACCTGAGAGAATGCTCACCGAGGTGAGAAGCAGCCTCACTCACCATCTGCACACGCGATGCTTGGTCACGCATTCATTGTCTCCTTCCTTTCATCAGTGGGTACCTGTACCCGTCTTTTGAGCTGATGACGTCGTCCGCCTTTGATCGGTTCACCGTCTTCACCGGCGTGGTGATCATAGCCATGGTCATCGTCTCGCTGATCATCGCTCTCATCACCAGCCCCTACCTGCCTGTCACCAGTGAGCACAATGCGAGACACTCTCTCACTTACACACAGGCATTGGGCAATGGCTGATGTGTCTGCTCAGAGCGGCGGATCATGTCTCGCCTGATCATGGAGGAAAGTCTCTACTACGCCATGCTGGGAGCACTCGTCATATCGCCCGTCTACCCAGTCATGCTACTGTCAGCCCACCACGCACATGCAATCAGGGAACACACATAGAGAGACACGAAGAGGGTTGGCACGTGCCACATGTCTCACTGTCTGTCTCCTGCGTGTGTGTCTGTTTGGCGTGCCTTCAGCACTCCGCACAATCTGTTCCCGCTCGATCTGAAGGTCACGCTAACGAGTGGCTGACACAGATGCCCCATGCAGGGATCCATCGATATATATGGGCGAATTGGGTGCGGTGCATTCAATGCAGGTGACACCGACTGACGAAATCAGCAATCGACTATTGCCAACATTCAACTGACTGACTGACTGCTTTAAGAGTCATATAGAGCTAGCTGCGTGCTTCTGTCATTTTCGTCTGTCTGGCGCCTGAATTCTTGCTTACGTGGCGGTGTGTTTGTGCGGTTTTGTTGGCATGCGAATGTACTGGAATGATAAGGCGGTCGTTAAATGACCTTCCTCTCCTCTGTCTTGGCATCTATAAGTTGTCCGACGTCGCAAATGGCCCCCACGTTTCATATTGCATTCACAAGCACCACGTCCAAGTTCTGCTCCCTTTTGCTGACGTCCAAATGAGAGCAAACAAAACAAAAGACAAAGCACGCTGGCGCATTGCAAACTGACCTATTCACCACCCCACGTTTAGAACAAGCACCGCACCCACCGGGAGAGAAAGCCCCATGAACAGTGCCCTCCCCCTTCCACGCGAGACACGTTGGTACGCGAGACACATTGGGTAAGAGGACCACAGCCTGATCAATCATCAGTCAGCCCCTTCGCTCGCTCGCGAGCACGAAAAGCCACAGGCAGGTATAAAGGATGAAGCACACCCCGATGAGCACGAGGGGGGCTATGGTGAGGATGGTGTTTGTCGATCCAGCATCGTAGTTGCGGTGCAGTGACCAGCTGAGAGCCCACAGGAGCACTGCGAAATCGGTGAAGAGGCACAAGGTCAAGAATTGGCCACGCAAGAGGACGACCCGTGCGGCGAACCACAAGGCGACTGCACAAATGAGGATGGACAGGGAAACAGTGGCCATGCGCTCGGCGCTGAGGGTCTCGAGGTCATACGTCACCCAAGAGATTAGGTTGAGTAGCAGGGCGACCACCACCCACGTCGCGTAGATGAACAGCCCGTTGACGACCAGCGCGTGGAAAGTAAAGGCGTCGAAGTTGCAATTACATGGTTCAGGAACGGAACGGCCCTTCCAGAAGACGGCCGCAATGGCGCCCCAGAGTCCTATGTTGACGAATAGGAGGAAGAGCACCGAGAGGCCCAGCATCTCGTTGGTCCACACGTAGACCCACACGGCATTCGACACACACGCCAGGCTGTACGAGACGTACTGAATGAAACACGCGCACAGAAGAGGCTCCATCAGGAAGCTTGTGTGTCAGGCCTTCGCTTACGAAGAGCGGCGTGAGAAGATGCTTGTCGAATGCACCGGTTTGGTCACCTTCATCCTGATGCCGCCTCCGACCAATCCGAAACCCGCAGACCAGCGGCATAAAGGCGTCGTACAGTGCGAACACTAGCAGCAGGGTATTCCAAAGATAGATCACGCCCCAGATGGCGAACGCGCTGCCAGCTGGCGTGATTGGAGTGTCATACTTGTCAGACACCTGCAGGCAGGCAGGCAGACAGACAGGCAGCCTACCGTTGGTGTCACATTCGCCATCTGCCTCAACTCACCTTTCCGACGGATTTGACCTCCTCGCCGAGGATGGCTGATCTGGAGCTGTCGAAGTTGAAGGCCAAGTTGAGCGCGAACAGCACCACCGTCAAGACGAAGAGCACAGCCACCAAACCAGCGGCAGCCTGGCGCGATATTTTGACTCGACAGCGCCCCGAGGTCCCGCCAGGCGAAGGGTTGTCGGGCGCTGTCGACTGGACTGTACTAAAGGTCGGCCCCATCAGTAGCACTGATCAAACACGGCTGAATGGCGAGTGCGAAATGTGTTTGTCAGAGACCTCCGAAGAGGCAGCAAACTCACCTACACACACAACACAACAAGACCGGTCAGTCAGTCATGGCGTTCCCTTTGGTGTGTTCGTGACTGACCTGAGGGAGTCTGTACCAAGGGGAGGGCACCTTTTGCCTTTATTCCCATGTATTCCCATCAAGAAGCCCGCATAGCTCGCCACTGGATCTACGTAAGGCCTTGAAAGTGGGCAGAGGTGACGCGGAATGACAAGCTGAATCGATTTGCTTAAGCTTTCGTGCCGATTGGCTGACTGATTGGCGAGAAAATGTCCAAATACTGCGTGTTTGGGAATAGACAGTGCTCGTTCGTGATGCGCATTCATTGCCTTTGAATCTCTCATGCGTCCTCCCACAACCCTCTCACCACCCCCCTTGTGTCTCCATTCCCTCACACAAGCACTATTCACGCATTCCACCCACACACTACTCGTGCTTCTTGTTCTTCTTGCGCTTGGGGCGGCCGCCGTCTCCCTCCTCTGCCGCGGCCGCTGTGTCGGTCTCGAACTGGCTCATGCGCTTCCTCTTGATCGCACGCGAGGCACGCTCGTTGACGCCGAGAGCGGGGGGGATGCCGTACCAGCGGCCGTTTTTCTTGTATGGGGCGGGATGGGGTGGTGCGGGGATCTGTACCCGGCTGCTGTTTGCTGGGATCTGTGCTCGGCACCTTTACGCGGTCACCCACCCACCTACGCGAAGGCCAGTTTCTCCCCTTGGCGGCGCTGAAGAAAAAGGTTCTGGGGAGTAGACGCTCTGCAGCAGCGGTTTCATGGAGCACCCTAGGCGGCCTGGCGGCCAAGTCCCCTGTCGGTCTGTCCAACATGAAAACACGCACCCTAACATGCAACCCGGACACGCAACACGCAGCACGCAGAGGGCAGATGCAGCAAACAGGAGGATATGCAATGCGCTGGGTGGGCGTCTCGTCGAAATGCGAGCCCGAGTGTACGCACATTGTTCGCGACGTTCGATGCGTCGTTTCAACTTCGCTACCATCCTGTTGGTCGGCCTCTCCGCCATCGGTCAGCGGCTAAGTGGTCAGCGGGCATCCTCACTGACCACGCATTATGAAAGATTTTCCTACATTGTGTGCATTTGTATGGCTGTTTTCCTTCAATAACTGCTCATGAGCTCGGTAGGTGACCGCCCCCACGCATCTACCCTGCCATCCCGGTCGGATGCAACGAGCTGGGGTGTTGTTTTAGATGCTGGAACCGGGGTTCAGTCTCTGACGTGGCTTGTGGCGCAGCAGACGAAAATTGCGAAGCTGGTTGCCGTCACAGCGAGTCCAAGTCAGGCCGAGACCTTACGGCAACAATTCAAGGATAAGTTGCGGCCACAAGATGAGATTGTTGACGGGAATTGGGACGATTCGACATTTCTCAGCAACTTTCAAGCCGATGTCATTGTCGCCGACTATCTCATAGGCGCAATCGACGGATTCTCACCCTATTTTCAAGATCGAATCTTCTCTCGCCTCGTGCAACACCTCAAGCCAGGCGGATGGCTGTACGTCGTCGGACTTGAACCGTTCTCGAACAGCGAGGCGACGTCCAAGGCGACCGAGCTGATCAAACAAGTTGCGAGAGTCCGAGATGCGTGTATTCTTCTCGCTGGCCATCGATGCTATCGTGAGTATCCGCAAGATTGGATCCATCGGCAACTCCAACACGTCAAATGTCGTATTGACGCCAGCGAGCGATGGCCTAATTTGTATTTGGGTCGACAAGTCGAGCGTCAGGTTCGTCTTCAAGTTAGCTCATGGCAAATTCTCCGCCTCCTTCCTTGTTGACTTTGGTTGTAGATCCAAGTGGGGAGGGACGAATTGCCCTTCTTCCCCGATACTCAGCTTGCCGATAAATATATCTCGAAAAATTGTCCCGAGAGACACAGGAGCTTTACAGCAACGACCAGAAGCACTCGTTTGGGTTTGATTATGTCGTCTGCGCCGAATACCAGCCAGAAAGCTCGTCATAGCTGTACAAGAGCAAATATCACTAGCATCGACAGAGACAATGCGACGCTTCTTGATACATATCAGTCAATACTTGTCAGTCACCACACAGTGAATAGTAGAATTTCACCCATTCACCACACACAGTAACCACCGCCACCCACTGCCTTTTCCAGCTGCCATGCATTGATTGACCCCAAGAGCGTCCGAGTGCGGAGGTGTGGGGGAAATGGAGGCCGGTCAGAAGGCAGGAATGAGCTACTGCAAAGTAAAACAAGATCGCAAATTCGTCTCGTCTTCGACAACTCCCAGCTCTTCCAATCACAAAATTCACTGCTTTCCTTTTTTGTGCGACGTACAGTTTGCATAGGCTCAAAGCTTTGAGATGGTTCTCTGTCCATTCGCACATTCGGGCGACACGGCATGGATCTGTCCATTGCATTATGTGGTCACACGTCACTCACACAGAAGAGCCCCTGAATTACAACTCGGGACGAAGAAACCATCAGCTGGTAATAGCTCAGCAGCGTCCCTTCCTCGATCTCTACGCCCATCCAGCCCTTGTCAATCTAACTCTCTCTCCCGCAACACATGACCCGCCTCTCATCTGTCATCACGCCTCCCTGTCGGGGAATCATCTCATCTCTATTTTTCCCCCTCCCCGCCCCTCCTGCTGCCATCCCCCTCCCTGGACATCTGCTGCTGCTGCTGCTGCTGCTGGTTTGGCGGCACTCCGAACGCCGGCATGGGCGGCGGTGGGACTCCGAACGCCGGCATGGGCGGCGGTGGGACTCCGAACGCCGGCATGGGCGGCGGTGGCGGTGGCAACTGCGTGAGGCTGGCGACGCTCTGCCACACGCCGGGGGGGAGAGGGGGCGGGGGCGGGTACACCATGGCGTGGGGGAGGCCGGGATGCACCATTGGCATGGGGGCGGGACGGAAAGGAAAGGCAGCAGGGGCAGCAGAGGCACCGGGGGCTGTCTGCTGCCGCTGCTGCTGCTGCTGCTGAGCTGAGGCGGCGTTGGATGTGTGGTGAATGCGCTGCTGATGGATGGACGCCAGCTGGTGCGCCCAGAATTGAGACTGCGCTTGCAGAAACAAACACTGGCACAGACCGACGCGCCACACACAGGCAGCAGCCAGACAGAGAAGTGGATGAAGCGCCGCTATCACATGATTCCACACCCTTATTTGTCTGCCATCCCTCCCTCACACTCTCACCATCTGGTACGAGTGCTGCATGGCCAGCATGAGGTCGTTCATCGAATTTGGAGAGGGGCCGCCAGCCGCCACACCACGTACCTCACCGACCGCGCCGACACCCAAACCACCAGGGAAGGTTGGCGGCACTCCTGCACAGCCAAACAAAAATCATAATGTAAGAGTAGACCGACATTCGCCCCTGTGTAGCCTCTGTGTACCTGGTGCGGCAGTGAACCCGAGCGGTGCTGCGGTGCCTCGTCCCTCCTCAAACACTCTAGGCACGGGCACCCAGCCGGCCGCAGACGATGATGCACCGGAAGCAGCCGCAGCAGCTGCCGGTGCCGGGGCCGGCACCTCACTGTCAGCCACACACAGAGACAGACGCCATCCATCCATCCATCCATCCATGTGTCACGCCTTACCCTCCCCGTCTTTGCCTTCCTTGTCTTTGCTGACCTGTCGTCCTTGACCATGCCGGTGCCCATGTCGAACCCGCCCATCCTCCTGGCCGCAGCAGCCAGCGCCGCCCGCCGTCGACGCAGCTCAGAATCGCCAGACTCTTCCTGAGCGGCTGGCAGGGGCGACACAGAAGGCTCGGACAAATCCCTAGCAGCGCGGGGCGGCGTCGCAACAGCAGCTGCCACCGATCCGGGGCGGGCAGGCGAGGGCGTCGCGAACTCGCGGGCGGCGCCCTGACAGACATCAAACACGTACACACACAAGGAATGGGTCTTGCGTCTCCGGTTGTCTGTCCACTTATGAAGGCCTACTGGTGTCTCTCTGGGAGGCGTTCTTTCCAGCAGTGGTGGCTGGGCGGCTGGTGCAGCATTGTCTGGTCGTGCAGCGGCCCGTTCCGGGCGTGGGGGCTGTCTGGGTGTGTCGGTGTCTGCGTCGGCTGAGGTGGTGGGGGCGTGCAGGGGGATGTCGGCCCGACACGTTGGGCAGGACTGCTGCTGCACCAGCCACGACCTGCATGGCAATCGACACACAGGCACACGTGTCTGGGTCGGTCTGTCTGTCTGTCTGTGTTGGTGCCGACTTGAGGCATTCGATGTGGAAGACGTGACCGCATGGCAGCTTCTTGTCGCCCTCGTAGAGTGAATCCCGGCATATGATGCACGTGTCGGCCGCCTCAATCTCCTCTGCCGTGGCGTCCGGGAACCTGAGACCACACACACACACACACACACCCCACACAGAGGGACATGACCTGTGAGCTGCTGGCGATGCGATGTGCGTGTGTGCGTGGTGCGGTAAGGTAACCCCCCTCCCGAACAGCACACCGATTCGCCCCCCCCACCACCACACACACACACACACACCTGCTTTCCATGTTGGCTGTGAGTTGTCTGTATCGCCTGAATGACTTGAGCCGCTGGGCAAGGGTGCGGGCCACCCCGATGATGTCAGCCGTCATGTAAAGGGGCAGACGGGCCGGGTTCTGCAGGAAGAACACCAGCATGAACACCTGCAGCGCAGTGCAGCCATCGATGGATGAAATGGAGCACACAAAACACACAACACAGATCAGATCAGCCGGCCGTTTCTCCTTTTCTTTGTTTGGCAGCCGGCCGGCCAACCGACCGACCAGGAAGATGCTCATGCTGACGACGTCGCCGAGGAGGTCCATGTAGAACAGGTTGGCAGACTTGGCTGTCCAACCTGCGCACACACCACACCCATGCCCATGTGTTGGCGATGCATGTGTCGGCTGTCTGCCCGCCGGTAGGGTAGCACTACCGTTGTCTAGCCGAAGGTCGATGAGGTGGATGATGTACTTGCCGATGCACAAGCCGCACGACGCGCACATAGCCAGCGTCTGGACGAAACGACGCACCAACCAACCGCACAGAGAGAGGAAGTCCTATGAATGATGGTGCGTGTGTGTGTGTGGGGTGGGGTTGGGGGGGGGGGGGGGGGGGGGGGGTGGCCACCTCGAACAGCAGCCAGGTGTAGAAGGTGGACGTATTGGACACTCGCGCATAGAAGAATGACAGGAGTGACGCATCCTGTGGTGCGCACCAGACAAAACAGCACGACAGACAGACACGTGTTCACGTGTTGTGACGCGCATTGGCCTCCCTCCCTCCCTCCGCCCTGCCTTCGCCATACGCACCACGAGCAACAGAGAGAAGAGAAACGCGCAGATGCGCAGCAGCACGCCCACACGCGGGACGCCAATCTCAAACATGTGGGCGATCCTTATCGATGAGATGAGGTGGAAGACCTTGAGCGCCACGATGATGCACATGAACTGGATGAGGTAGGCCGAGGCCACCTCCTTGCCGTCGATAGTGGGGGAGGCGAACACCAGGAAGAGGATCATGTCCAGGAGGAAGCCGCGGCCCTGGTCTATCAGCTGCTCCATCTCAAGATCTCTCAGCTGCCCGATGAAGAACCTCAGCAGCACCTTCGACGTCGCCACAAACAAAAAGAACGCGAAATTGTACATGACCTTCGCACACACACACACACACGTCGGTCACATGTGCTCGCTCGTCTGCTGGTTGTTGGTGTTGCTTCCTTCTTTCTGTTTTACCCCGAGGCTGATTTTGTCGGTGGAAAGGTAGACGACGGCCGGGTAGAACTCCTCGTATGTGATGTAGGCGTGCGTCATGACGCCCACCACACCCACCACAGACAGCAGACTGTACAAACCCAGCTCCACCCTCATCGCCGCCGGCTATCGTTCTCACGCCTCCACGGCAGCAACTCTTTTCCTCCTTTCTTCCTTTCTTCCTCGTGCGAGCTTATCGGAGATCGCGGAGGAGGGCAAAAGGGACGAAAAGAGCAGGGGAGGACTGCCCCAGGAACAGGAGGACTGCAGCGAAGCACCACGTGAGAAACCGGCACAGAATGACGCACAATCTACGTACACATGTGCGGGGCGCGCCGTGGCTGTCTGTGGCTGGACTCTGCAGAGGCGAAGATGAGTCGCTTCTTTAAACTGCACGACTCTCCTATTGTCTCGGAGTTTAACTGCACAGACTTGGCGGAGCTTGGCAAGTTGCGGACGGTCGGTCATGTAAAGAGCTTCCTCTAGTACTGCGCCGGCATGGCTGGCCTCAACAAGCGCTCTGATGTGGTGCTCATCGACTTCGTGGGCATGCCCGACAAAACGCCACTCGGCGACGTGTACGTGACACACGCACATACAGGCAGACAGATAGACAGACACAGCGTCACACGTGTGTGTCTGTGTGTCTGTGTGCTCCCTGCGAGCACAGGGGGCTGACCGAAGATAAGCCGATCGTCATCAAAGCGACCATGCCACTCCCGCCGGGTACGCCTCACAGCCAGCTGACTGGAACACTCACACAGATGTGCACAAGACTGAGTGACTCTCTCCATCTCGCTCTCTCTCTGTGTGTGTGTGAATGACCGACAGTCGCTGGCTACCCGGTGGAGCCATGGGTGGAGGAGTCCATGCGCGACACAGAAGGACGCTCCGGGACCGGTCGCCGTGAAGTGCATGAGTTGTCCCGGCTGTGAGATGTACTCGAGGCTCCCTCCTTCCCATCACACAGCCGGCTGTGGTGGTGAGTGTCGGGGCGTCTGGCCCCGGGGCGCCCGGCGCTTACGTGCTGCATACTTAGCAGCACACACGGAACACAGACACACACACACACACACAGACAGACAGCACCAAAAGCTGACTGGGCGCGTAGGCATCAGCGGCTGTGCTCTGGTGCGCGTCAAACACTCAAGTGGCTGTCTAGATGTTCATCTATCATTAATTTGATTAGCTGATTTCTTGCCTGATGTGACTTTTTGTCGTGTATGGCTGTGGCTAGGCTAGCAGGCTGGCTGATGTGATGCGTTGTATGGTCAGTGAGGGAGACACAGCGATGGGATCGATAACCGGTTTGTTTTGGCGCATCATTGAGGAACGCCCTAGGTCAGACATATCAGAGGATCCGTGCACGTGTGAGATCATGAGAAGGTGAAGAATGAGTCTCGGCAACGTTCAGCTGACATGCAGCACGTGAGATGAACTGTTTGTCGTCGCATTGTAACTTCATCGGCCATGGAATTACCTCCATGGCATGGGGTGGGATCGATGAGTGAGATGCATACGCAGCCGATCATGTGGACGATTAAGGGAAAGACTCACTCACTGTCGCATCCATCAGGCAGGCAGTGTCTGTCTGTCTGTCTGTCTTATGTCTGCGTCACACACCTTATCCACACACACACGGACAGAGCGAGATGTGATGATAATGTGCGTATGCATGCGATCAAATCATGGTACACACGAGCGCACAAACAAACAAATATATAGCTGGGCCGGGAGACAGGCAGGGTAGGTGGGCGGACGATACACAGGAGCCGCTGTGTTGTGGGTGGGGTGGGTGGGTGCCTAGCAAGGCACACCGAGACAGCCAGGCAGCAATACATACATGTCAGGCAGAGAGAGTTCAAAAACGCCACGCCACGCCACAGACAGCAATGAATAAGAGACGGACGACCACTGCCTTCCCCTCCTTCTTTCTTCCGTCCGTCCGTATCACACACGACAAAGAACCCTCCCCTCAACAACCACACCACCACAGCCGTCACTCTCCGCCATCGTCGGTCTTGGTCGTCCCATCTCCCTTACTGTCGCCATTGAACCGGTACGGATAGCTCGCGCCACCCTCCTTCCTCGATGACGACGCCTCGCCATCCCGCCCGCCCTGCTCCCCAGGAGTCTCCCCCTCATCGTGGCCATGGCTGTTGTTCTCAATCCACGTGGACAGCAGGGGGATGCCGACGGACCGCCGCTCCTCTGCCACAGACCCCATCGACGAACACGACTCGACATGACGCTGCGGCCGATGTTGCTGATCCTGCCGCAATTCCACCACTGCGGGCGGTGCAACTGCCAGCGGGGGGGCACTTGGTGAGTGGGCGGTGGGTGATGTTGGTAGTGGTGGTAGCGGCTGGGGGACGGGTGCGGGTGCTGCGTCGATAAAGCTCGATGACGAGCCGGTGCGGCCACACACGGCGAAGCACTTGGTCCAGCGGCGCAGAATAAAGTCCATAGTATCGGACACGCGACGAATCGTAGTTCTGATGAGCACACACACACACGACAGACAGGCAGGCAAGCGCGGGGGATGGATGGATGGAGGGAGGGAGGGAGGGAGGGAGGGACAAGGCAGGTTGAGTGTCCACCTTACGCATTAGCGTCTGGCTGGGCGAGGGTGGAGACAAAACCCGATAAAACGTCCACATTGTCTCGGCCATCGCTGAAGGCTGCCGCCTCATCCTTGTCTCCCTTCACACCGTCATGGCCGCACACACACGCCTCACCACCGCCACCAGGGGCGGCAGCAGGATCAGCGGACAGTGGTGCCGGTGGATCCCCCTCTCTCCGGTCATCGTCAGTGCCGTTTTTTGTGGCGGCATCAGGCAGCGGCACCGCCTTCATGCCGGCCCTAGGGAAGATCCGTCTGAGTGCGGGCGACCATGGTGACCAGTAGGCCTGCCCGTCGCTGCTGGTCTCCCTTCGTTGCCGCGCCGTAATGGCTCCTGGGGGCGTCCCCGCACGCCTAGCAGATCGGGTGAGCAGTGGGCTCCGCCGTTGCTGCATACGGGGGGAGAGACGATTGGCGGCCTGCTGCTGCTGTTGCTGCTGTGACGACGAGACGGCGTTGGCAGACGGGATGAACTCGCCGACACGGTGGATGTGGCTCTTGATGCCGAGCAGCTCTTCGTAGGCCTCCATGATCTCCTGGACGACCTGAGCCTGCACCTCCTCGGTGATGAGCAGACCGGCACGGTCCTTGGCGGTGAAGACTGCCGACTCGTCGTTGAGCACCTCAGCCAAGTCACACGCGTTGAACTGAACACACACACACCAACACATACACACATAAAGAATAAGACATGCTGATGGTTGTTTTGATTGCTGGGTGGTCCGACTGACTGACCGAGTGAGGCGGCAGTGTGCGGCTGGCGGCGATGGTGCTGGCGTCGGTCCCTATAGCGCTCGCATTGACGCTCTCGGGCGTACTGCTCGACCCACCCGCCACAGACTTGTCCCCCTCACCACCACCCCCACCACCACTTGCTGCTGCCGTCTCAGTGCCGCCCCCCACCCCGTAGCCCGCGAGGCTCATGCCCATGTTCTCCATTATCTGCGTGACGGCGCCGGTAGTGCCGGAGGTGCCACCGCCAGGGTCATTCTTGCGCATCGTCCATCCATTTCTCCTCTCCTGCCACTCTTGGCTGTAGTTCTGCAGGCTCTTGTAGGCGCCCTTGCTGGTGTCCTTGACGAGGCGGAATGTGCCAAGGATGGGGAGGTAGATGAGGTTGAGCATCCCCACCCCCACACCCATGGCACCGCCCACGAAGCCGCCCGACTTGACGCCGTGGAGCGGGTACGTCACGATGCCTTCGAAACCTGATGCATGCATCATTAGGATGGATGTGCAGCATCGTCAGAAGAGACAAATTGCAAGGGAGGGACGGCTTTGTGTGTGTGTGTGTGTGTGTGTGGTGCGTGTGTGAGGGGGCGGGAGGTGGCTGACCCTGCTGCAGGCATTCGGCGTATGTCTGTGCGCCCCGCATGACGCCTTCGTGGAAGTTGCGGATGTTGCCCTTCTTGCGCCGCCACGTCCAGTCGATGGCATGGTACTCCCTGACACAGCAACCATAGTGACCACATCGACCATCTGCAGAGAGAGACAGATGGACTGCGTACCTACCTTCTTGTGTGTGGCCTGAAGTTGAGTATGGCGTCGTCATCGGTGCCCTTCCTCCTCTGCATGGTGCCCAGGACGTCCCGCCTCACCAGGTGCGGCCACTCGTCCGCATCGCCATCGTCGCTAACCCCACGCTGCGCAGCCAACTCCGGTGGCACCGGCACGCTGATAACCAAACCGTCCTCAGCACTCGACGAAGACGACCCCTCCCCCTCTCCCTCTCCCTCCGTCAGGTCGTCTTTGCCAGCCGCGGCGGTCTCCAACAGCGGCAGATTTGGCTCACTGACAGACATCGGAGGCATCATGTCCACTCGACGCCTTACTGTGGCACTGGCAGCCGACGGGGCAGCGTCGCCATCCCCCGAGCACTCAGTGCGATCGCTGGGATCCCTCAAGGGGTCAGAGAGGAGGTCTGTGGGTGCTGGTGGTGCTGCTGGTGGCGGGGGAGGGGGAGGTGTGGGGGGCGGCTGGGCAGTGTCTTGGGTTGGTGTGGTGGGTGCTGCATCTGGCTTGCTGCTGGTGTCCTTCTGCCCTCCGAGTAGGGGCGGCAGTGGTGGCGCGTCGGCTTTAGATCGGATGAGCGGCTTGGTCTGCTGTGAGAGGGGCGTCTCGAGAGGGAAGCGTCGCCTGCGCCGCCACGCGTAGCCCTGCGGGCCGTTGATCACATAGTCACATACCCTGCCAGGTCAGACAATCGACAAGCAGACCAGACGCACACCGATCAACACAATCCACACACGGGATCGTTCTCGTGTTCCTTCTTACTTGCAGAGCCTCATATCGGCGTCGTGGTCGTAGACCTTGGCCAGCCCCGCCGTCTGCAGAAAGTGCTGCTTCGACTTGCTGGACCGGCCCATCGGTGACCGAAAGGGATCGCTCTGGTGACTCAAACACCGAGTGGCCCTGACAGGCGTCTCCCCACCGCCACCCACACCCACACCCACAGACGCCTCGGTGGCGCACCGCATCGGCGGCGCCGACACTGCTCGCGCAGACGCTGTGGCTGTGGCTTTGTTGTCGGTGTCTGCCAGGCTGGCCGTGTCGGTGGACATGGCCAGCAGGGGCTCGCCGGCAGCAGGAACGGCGTCGGAGCGTGAGAGTCTGGCGGGGGAGCGCGCCTCGAGGCTGACGGGCGATGGCGAGCCGTTGGGCGTCTTGGAGAGGGCATCGATCTGGCTGTGGGTGGCGGAACGCAGCTCCTGGATTGTCTGGCGTGTAGCAAAAGGGCAGCGAATGAATGACCACTGAGTGTGTGTGGGTGTGGTGTGTGCGCGTGTGGTGTGGTGTGTGACCTGGTCCTGTCTCTGCAGTAGTGCCTGTCGGCAGACTTCGCACTGCAGCAGGTCCAGGGGCAGCTGCCGGTGGAACGCCGCCACGCCCTCCTCCACACCATTCTCACGCGCCATCTGCTCCGCCAAAATGGCCGCATTCGCCTTGGTCTAAAGATACACCAAAACCAACGCACACGTGACCAATACGGCTCGCTCTGCTGATGAGTATCTCTCACATCGTCTCGCTGGCAGTGTCGAATGGCCTCCGCGAAGGCTTTCTGCGTCATGCGTGTGCCGGCGATGGGTGCCGGCCCCGCCCCGAACCGCTTGACCATCTCGCCCCAGAAGAACTGGTCGCCGAAAAACGGCACGACGATGGTGGGCCGGCCGGCGCGGAGCCCCGCTGCCGTCGTGCCGGCGCCGCCGTGATGGCAGACGGCCTCACACCGGGGAAACAGCCAATCGTGCGGACAGTTGCCTGCAGGAGACAAAGAGGCAGGCGTGGAGATGGGGTGGTGGAGAGATGGACTGACCGATGAAGAAGATTTGGTCGGGGTTGACGTCTTCGAGTTTGGAGAGGTCCTCGCTCCAGCCCTTGTTGATCAACGCACGCACTCCAGTGGAGCTGTCAGACAACCAGCCACCCAGAGAGACACACGAGGAGAGAGGGAGAGAGAGAGAGATGCAGCGAGCCAGCCAGGCACCCGGCCGTGTGTGGTAGGCTGCTTACATGACGGCTTTGATGATTCCGCTCATGATTCGGTCGAAGCCGTCGACCACCACAGAGCCAAAGCCGATGTAGAAGGGCGGCGGACCCTTAGACATGAAGGCGTCCAAGTCGCTGGGCGGCCGATACGACGTCACACTGAGAAATGCGCACAGACCCACAAAACACACACAACACACACATACAGATGGATGGTTCAAGCTAGCATGGTGGCGGGGCGGGGGGGCACACCAACCAGTCAAGGAAGAAGAATCCGGTGATGTCGATCTGCGGCCCCCAGTCTTTCGGCTTTGGGATGAGGGACGGCGACCAGCAGTAGGCATGCGGCACCTTCAAGTGGTCCAACAAACTAGGAGCTGACAGATCAACAGAAGCACCGCCACTGATGGAATGCCTGGGCTCTTTCTTCTCTCCTGATTGATTGATTGATTGCTTGACTGACTGACCTTCTTCGGTCCTGTGGATGGTGTCCAGGCCGAGTGTCCTCTTGCGGAAGTTGTTGATGAGGTCCCGCATGCCCAGCCACGTCAGCTCGTTGACCAAAGTGTAAGACAGCCAATTCTCAAACTCATTCGTCGCCCTGCAAAGCACAGACACACACATATCCACACATCCGTTTGTTTGCATGTGTGTGTCTGGCTACGGCCCCCACCTACCCACCTGTCATGGTGTGTGAGGGGGTGGGGGAAGCTCTCTGTGGGCGACCACGGCATAGTGAAGTAGATGTGGCAAGGGATCTTGAGCCGCTCCGCCACGTGGATGTGCGCCCACGACACAGGGTTCGCTATGATGGCCTCGGCCACAAACTCCTCACCCGTGTCCAAATCACTCGCCCTGCACAGCACACACACAGCGGCATGGGATGGACATCTAGCGTCTTGTCGTCTGTCTCTTGTGTGTGTCACTCATTCGGTCATTGGTACGTGCTGGCGGGCCAGGCCGACTGGATGATCTCATCGAGGATCTGGCGCTTCTTGGGGATCTCACGGGGGTCGCGCGGCAGCAGACCTGACCCACCGCACCAGCCCCACCCCCAACACACGACTGTGCGGCACTTGCCTGTGTGTGAGTGTATGTGTGTGAGTTGATATGGGCCCTGACAGGCACGTACCAGGGTTGCGCACCATGTAGGCGAGCAGCTCCTTGGGGTCACCGCCCAGCGGATAAAACGCCAGACCCTCACCCTTGACGAAATCCTACCACACACCGCACCCATGCGCTCATGCGTCACTCCCTCCCTGCCTGCCTCCCGTGTCACCCTGAAATTAGAGTGTGTGGCGAGCCTGCAGGTGTGTCCGATCTCATTCAGCTTCTTGGCCAGCGGGATGAATGGCTGCACGTCGCCCCGCGACCCCACCACCAGGATCAGTATCTTGAGCCGCGGGATGAACTCCAGATTGTCCGGCTGGATGAACAGCTGGCCCACAAGCATGTGCGCCTTGCTCCGGACGTCCTCCCGACACAGAAACTCCGTCAGGTCCTTCTCGATGCACCGCACACTCTTGTCGATCGACACGTCGTTCTGGTCCTCCAGACCACACACAGTCTCCTCCAGGCGGTGCACCAGCTCGGGGAATTCGGGAGAGGGGAGGTTGGGGAAGCGAAGCTCGATGCGCCGGAGGGAGACGATGAAGTAGGAGGAGCTCATGAGCAGCTCTCGCGTGGCGTCTTGGTGTTCGATCTGGAAGAGGAGCAGGAGCTGCGCGCCTCGCCGGCTCCACCCCTTGATGCGGATCTGGTAGTGGGGCGTGGTGTCCTTGATGCTGTCGCGGTCGTGCCGGCTGGCCTCCTTCTTGGCGAGCTCCTCACCTGCCGCACGAAGGTCAATGCGGCTGTCGTGGGTGAGGGTCCTGTGCAGCACCATCGATACACCACACACACAACAGACAGACAGACAGGCAGACAGATAGGCAACAGGTGAGGTGCCGATGCATAACTTGCTTGTCCATCTCTCGGAGCCCGTGTGTGTGTGTGTGTGACCTGAGGAGTTTGATGGCTTCCTCGTCCTTGGCTTCATCGTCGCTTGGCAGAGATGCCGGCGAGTCCTCCTTGACGGCACGGCCGGGCGACCGCAGCTGCCCCTCGGCCACGGCAGCAGGCTTGCTGCCCCTCGCTGATCTGGGCCGCTTCGACGAGTCGGATGATGCGCGAGACCGAAACATCAGGGACGCCGCGAGCAACAGAAAGAGAAGCAGCACCGACTACTTAGCAGCACCGAATACTAGCATAAGCCATCAGCACGTGGTTTTTTCCTCATCATCGCTTCTTTTGCGAGCTCAGACGGGAGCGATCCGAAGCTCCAGCTCCCCCTTGACTCGTTTTGGACGGTGTAGCGTTCCTCAGGCAACCTCTTGCAGCACATTGATGTGTAATTGCGTGTTGACGACGTTTGTTTGAGCGTCCCGCGGCGATGGGTTATGTGGAGCGGCTGGCGGCGGCCGCCCAGCCCCTCCCGGGAGAGGAGAAGAGGACACTCGAACAAGCAGGTACATCCCACACACATTTGCTCACCACCTGCACGATTTCTTGTCATTTCATTGTCCTGCTCATGCTGCTGCTCTCTGTTGTCTGTTTGGGCGCCCAGAATCAGAGTGTCGGAAGATCTTTGAAGAGCTGCAGCTCAAGCAGCAGCAGCAGAAGCAGCAGCGGCAAGGCAGCACAGGCACAGACCCCCATGGCAGCGACGCCCACTCGGCCTTCGACAGGCTGGCGCGCACCCAGGGCCTGCACCCTGCCGCCAAGGGCAGCCCCCTGGCGCAGCTGCTGCTGGAGGGGTCTCGCGAGGCGTTCCTGGAGACGCTGCGTGTGAGCCTGCCGACTCAGGCTGACCTGAAGGCGATAGCTGACGTGATGGTGCAGTACTGCGACCCACGGGGAGAGATGGGCAGGGTCAACCATGAGGGCTTCGAGAAGGTCGGTAGGTCGGTAGGCCGGGTCGGTGGGGGAGGGAGGGAAACGATGGCTGGATGGCTGTGCGTGCGTCGGTGGACGGACGGATGCTATCCATGGATGTCTTTTGTCTTTAGGTGAGGACGCTGCTGCCCGAGGCGTTCCATCACTTCTTCACCCCCAAGGTCTTCGCCAAACTCAAACGAGACGAGTGAGTCAGTCAGTGGGGGGGCGACGCATTGCACTGCATGCCGGTGTCGGGTCGGCTTTGCGCCCATCAATCCACACACTCACTTCTATCTCTCTCTCTCTCTCTGTGTGTGTGTGTGTGTGCAGGTACGGGTGCATCTCAGTGGAGGAGCTCACATACCACATCTATCAGACCAGTAAGTAGCAACTACCCAACTCAGCGAGCAGGGCAGCTGCAGCAAGCATTGCTCGTGTCATGTGTGCCTTTGTGTGTGTGTATGTGCAGCGAGCATCTTGCGGAGTCGCATCCGCCTGGAGCCCTACGACGGCGACGGAGACGGATACCTCACACACAACGTAGGGTCACTTTGGATGGACGGCTGGATGTGTGTGTGTGTGTGTGTGTGTGGTGCTTGACACACACACCCCTCTGTCTGTCTGTCTGTCTGTCTGTCGGTCTGTCTGAATGTGTGTATGTGTGCCTCTCTCGACCCTCAGGAGTTTGCGGCGTTTATCAAGGGCTGGATGGACGAGTCGAAGAGCAAAAGCATTCGGACCATACGGGTGAGCGTGAGTGAGGGAGGGAGGGAGGGGACACACACAGAGAGAGGGAGAGAGAGAGATGAGAAGCGCGCGCGGAGGGGATCGCCAGCAGCAGCACAGGACGTGTGTGTGTGTGTGTGTGGTCGTCGGTCGATAATCTCCGTCAGGCCAACCCCACGGACCGCCACCTGTTTGTCGAGTATGTGGTAAGCGACTTACCAACACACCGCACACACACAGAGAGAGAGAGACCTTGTGATGCGATCCCCCCCCACCCCCTGCAATGATCGTGATTGTGATCTCCGTCTGTCTGTGTTGCAGGTGACGGTCTTCTTCTTCGACCTGGACCCCAGGCGCAGGCGTAAGCCACCCACCCCAGCCGCCCCACCCCACCCACCCCACCCCACCCACTTGGCTCCATCCCATCGACAGCACTCACAGACAGACAGACCCACACACACACAGGGGCTGTCTGGGCTGTCTGTCCATCTATCCATCCATCCCTCCATGGTGTGTGCAGGCCGCATCTCGATAGCCGACATAGTGCACCACGACACCTGGATGGAGCTACAGCAAACCATGGGAGGGGTACGGTACTCCACACGTCGATCCGATCCACACGACAGAGAGGGCGTGTGTGTGTGTGTGTGGTGTGAGTCTGCAGGACGACCGTGCTGGTTGTGAGTCGCTGGGTGTGCGGCAGTGGCAGACCACCATGGAGGCGTTCGCAGCCGTCAGGAGCCCCACACACGACGGACACCTCAACCTCGACAAATTCATGTCTGCCACACGACACTCATTCAGCCACGGGGGAAGGGAAGCCCACACAGACAGGGAGGGAGAGAACGGTGCTGTGCTCATCTCATGGCTGTGTGTGTGTCAGGGATTTCCTGCATGACGCCAGCCCCCGGTTTGCGCGCAGGGCGTTTGAGGTCTACGCCAATGAGGGGGAGATATCGGTCGGTGGGACCGCACCACAGACAGTCCGGCAGGCCGTCCGGCCACTGTGTTGTGTTGTGTTGTGTTGTGTGTGTGGGTAGGTGTACCAAACAGTGGTGTGTTTGCTGCTGGTCTATGCCAGAGACTACACCAACAGGTCCATGGTGGTAGGTCTGCTATGCTGCCACTCACCCCACGCCACCCCAGCCACAGCCATTGCACTGCACATATCATCTCTCTCTCTCTCCCTCCCTCCCTCCCCCTGTGTGTGTGTGCAGATGCAGGAGTCGACTGTCTGTTGGATCTTTCGCGCTATGGACATCTACGGCACCGGGCGGATCACATCCAGCGTCGTCGAGTACTTCTACCTGGTGGGGTGGGCTGGGCACTCTCTCCCTCTCCCC